CGCATGCGTAGTAAGCCATACCATCTGTGCTGATATTGCAAAAAAACAGTTATTTTGGTTCTATTGTCAAATCAAACCATGGTTATTTTGAACGAAGTAAAATATTATTCTGCATGAAACAGTTAGGCGCAATCGTTTAGCGTGGTCTGAATGAAAAAAAATATGCTGCTGATGAGGAGAAAAAAAAATATTGAAAAAGCGTCTAGCACAAACAAGTTTTTTAACAATATTTATACGGTCACGGAGATCTATACACTAATAGTACAGCTGTATATCTCTATAGTTAGTTTAGCATCATTTACCCGCCCGTTTTATTATTTATATGTGTTAGTTCTGTGAGATCGAGATGTAAGTACCAAAATATCAGTTTGTAGATTTATTCATTGTTTCACAGAATATTTTTATTTTAATAAACTGAATTTAATTGAATATTTCAGTTACAATAACCATGGAACATCGATATAACAAGAACAGATTTAATATAGCATTGAATACGCCAAGAACAACAAGATACAATTGTAGAGATTATGCATGGTTATCACGTGAATAAAAGAGATAAACAGGTTAACTGGTAAAACTGGAATTTATTATAATGACAATTGTATAAATAAAACAGCACGGACAGCGAGAGCGTGTAGCATGGTGACTGAATGGATGCTACAGTCCAAGTAACTAGAGAGTGGAAGAGAGAGAGCAGCAATGCTCACTCAACGAATGCGACGATCACGCCACCACACACACACAGACATACACACTCATATATGCTCGAACTCAACCTAATCGGACACTCCCCTGTTTTCGAGTATATCCACTACATTTATTCGATCCCGCATAAATTCAAATCTGGGCTTGGCCAGTGTTTTAGTAAGACAATCAGCTAATTGTTCTTCGCCATTAACATATAAAACTTCAATTGCTCCACTTTCCAAAATACTTCGAATGTAGTGATATTTAATATCTATGTGCTTGGAACTACGAGCAAGAGACGGGTGATTAGCAAACGTAATTGCACTTTGGTTGTCTATATATATAAAAGCCGGATCATCCCGAGCTAATCCTATTTCAGATAAAAAACGTTGAAGCCAAACTACTTCCCAAGTTACAATATTTGTTGCTATATATTCAGCTTCCATAGTACTCTGTGCAACTACATCCTGACGTCGCGATAACCAAATAACTGGACCAGATACTATTCCTACAATACAACCACTAGTTGATTTTCTTGTATCAAGGTCACCACCAAAGTCAGCATCTGCAAATGCATGGATTGTGATGCCTTTCTCATTACCAGCAAAACGAATACCAAAGTGGACAGTTTTCTTTAAATATCTTAATACTTGTCTAGCTGCTTTCCAATGTGATACATCATAAGAGTTGTTAAATCTACTAAGATAGTTCACAATAAAAGACAAGTCTGGTCTCGTGACATTAGCTAAAAATAAAAGGCTACCAATCAATTGACGATAAGGAACCTCTGGAAAGTCAGTGCTACCCGACGCATGTAGCTTGATACTGGGGTCGGCTGGTATGCTCACCGGGACTGCATTTGTCATGGAAAATTTGTCAAGTATGCGCTGTGAATAGGCACTCTGATGTAATATAATTGTTTTGTTCATCCTATCACGCACAATTTGCATCCCAATGAACATCTCAGTCGACCCTACGGTTATGTCGAATTCAGACTTAAGAGCATTTATCACAGTGTCGATTTGTTCACGATTTTTGCCGAATAACATTCCGTCATCCACAAACAAAGCCAAATACAATGATCTTTCTTTACACACATACACAGACCATTCAGATGCACACTGTACAAAACTAAACTTATCAAGGAACTCAGTGTACCTCTTGTTCCAACATCTGGAGGCCTGTTTAAGACCATACAACGCTTTGTTCAGCTTACATACTTTATTCGGCGAGTCTTCAACATTTACACCTTCCGGAATCTTCATCTGGATTTCTTCATCCAGTCCTCTGTACAAGAACGCCGTCTTAATATCAAAGTCCTGCATTTCAAGGTCCTCTTGGGCTGCGACTGCAAACAAGACCCTCAGCGCCTCATAGCCAACGACCGGAGCATATGTTTCATTGTAGTTCACTCCATACTCCTGCAAGAAACCTCTAGCACATAAACGCGCCTTATACCTGCTAACGTTACCAGCTGCATCGTATTTGAGCTGGAACGTCCATTTTGAGTCAATAATGTTAGCACCCTCCTTCCTCTCAACAATCGTCCAGGTACCATTCTTCTCGTGAGCATCAAGCTCCTCTTGAATCGCCATAGACCAGCTGGCAGATTCATTACTCTCCAGAGCTTCTTTGAATGACGATGGTTCCAGGACTCCTTGTGATTCCAGAGGACATGAGGCATTATAGACTTCATAATCCCGAAGGTGTCCTGGGAGTTTAATCTTCTTTCTTGATCTTAACTGCATTCGGCTAGGCGACTCAGAGTTGTTTCTCTTCTTGGACTTGGTCTTACTCTTCAAAGGTGGAAAGTTTTCTTTGTTCATGTTCCTGCCTCGGACTGGTGCTGTTGCAGTGACCTGTTGCTCGATCAACCCATCACCCAGATCAGAAGGCTGCTCAGACTGCAAAATGGATTGGTCCAAGGCTGGTTTCTCCCCCAAACCCGACACATCCGGTGGTTTCAGTACAGATACCTGAGGTCTCTGAGGAACACTATTAGCCTTACCAATGTTAATGACAATACTCCGATTGTCATCCTGGAAGTCAGTCTTCACAAAATCAACGTCCCGAACAATCCGAATCCTGTTAGCAGATGGATCGTAGACCCGGTAGTTGTATACTTCATCAAAGTAGCCAACCAGGAACACCTCTGAAGATTTGGCATCCCACTTCTGTCGTGTCAGCTTTGGCAGGTGCATATAGCCCATAGTACCAAACGGCAGCATATGCCTAACTGATGGCCTGGTGCCATGCCACAACTCAAACGAAGTCTTCTTACCAGTACTGTTGGATATAGTCCGATTCATAGCGTAGACAGCTGTGTTCACAGCCTCCGCCCAAAGAGACTGTGATAAAGCTGCATCATGAAGCATACTCCGTGCGGATTCAATTATTGTCCGGTTGTCTCGTTCAATGAAGCCGTTCTGTTCCGGACAATGTGGAGCCGACGTACACATTTGGATCCCATGCCCTCTCAGGAAATCAACCAAGGTCGAGTTGCAGAACTCCAGGCCATTGTCACATCGAACTCTCTTGATGTTGATACCATACTGCTTCTCCATGAGTATGCAGTGGTTTTTCAAATTTGTGGCAGCATCAGATTTATGCTTCAGAAAATACACGTGACGGAAACCCGTAGCACGATCTTTGACCAGCATAAAATACTGAGCTCCACCCAGTGATGTACTCATCTTGCCACACAAGTCTACATGAATGCATTCACCCTTGCCAAATTTTACCACATCAACACCAGCAGGACGACTCGGCAACCGATGAGACTTGCCATACATGCATCCCCTGCATACAAAGTCGTCTCCAGCAACATCCTCCAGTCCGGCAACAGCTTTGGCATCAATCATCTTCTTCAATCTTCCAACGTTGACATGTCCCAAGCTTCTATGAAGATCCTGTAGAGAGCTGCTGTTCACCTCTACACCTGGTGGAATAACCCTAAAATCCATGGAGCAGATATTATTGAGCTGCTTCCTGCCTTGTGCCACGACAGAGCCATTTTCTGTATTGACAATGTAAACAACATCTCCCCTGAGCACAACTTCGTAACCTTTCCGTGTTGCAGGATTAGTGGAGTACAAATTTCGACTAAATGATGGAATATATAACACATCATTGAGTTTACCCGCAAGCCACTCTTCACCGACCTTGCGCTGGATTTGGATGGTTCCAGTTCCGATTGCCTGATGAACAGAATTGTCCCCCAGCGTTACATTCACAGCTGGTGACAACTTACGGTAATCCTTGAACCAATCCCGGCGAAACGACATGTGACAGGAGGCACCACTGTCCGTCAGCCATTCATCACATGGGGTCCTCGACTGCGAACGATCATCCCTGGCCGAAGTTGAGTTGGCTTGAGGTTGTAGATTCACAGTGGCGACAAGTGACGCCACGAATCCAGGTGTGACTCCCTCTTGCGGCACACCACTGCTCCTATTAGGTTGTGTGCGCTGGCCTCCATTTTGTTGAAAGTTACCGGAAGCCACTCCCCTTGAAGCTTGATTACGCTTCTTCTTCTTACATTCGCGTGCAAAATGGCCGTCAATCCCACAGTAATGGCAGGCTCCTTTTTTCTTCTTCTTGGGTCCGGACGCCATTTTGTTGTTCTGGAAATTTCTCGAAGAACCTGCTTGGTTTGCAGCTGAGAAAGCACCAAGTGTTGTATTTTGATTGTCCAAACGCTTTTCCTCTTTGATCAGGCGTTCAATCAGATGTATTGTCGTTTGACGAGCAGGGTCCACAGAGTCCCAGGAAGTTACCAAACTTCCATATTTTTCCGGCAAACCACCAAGAATTTTCGCCATGACACAGTTGTCGGACATTTGCTCTCCCGCGTCCTTCAAGCGCCGTGCGATATTTTGTAGACGTGTGGTATACACCATGACAGACTCATTTCCCTCCAATAAGCATTGGTAGAATTTTTGTAGTAGAGTCAGCTTGCCTGTTTCAGAGCGTTCTTCATGAATGGCCTGCATGTTTTTCCACATTTCAGCAGCAGTGTCACATCCAAGAAAATTTTCAGCTTCGCTGTCAACCATGTTCGATGACATTGAAAGCATCACCGTTGAGTCTTTCTTGTCCCACTCTGCTTTAGCTTCTGGTGTCGCCGTTTCTCCGGGAGGTGTAGCAGTGTCATCGATCATGCTCAGCAATCCAATGCCTTTCAGAGCTCGATGCAGGTCCGCTTTCCAGATTTGAAAATTCGATCCATCAAATTTTCTAATGCTCCTCACGAGAAACTGGTGTTGGTCAGTCATCTTCGACGGTTACGTAACACACAAGCACAGCCGACACGGAGATTCAAAAAAGAGTCAAAATGGCCGACAAACCGTTCAGCACAAAAGCGTCTATTGTTCTCGCGCGATTTCTATTGCGTCATACACCCGCACTCCGAATTCACGTGAGACAAAGCGAAAAAACCATACTGGGCCCATAACCTGTAGAGATTATGCATGGTTATCACGTGAATAAAAGAGATAAACAGGTTAACTGGTAAAACTGGAATTTATTATAATGACAATTGTATAAATAAAACAGCACGGACAGCGAGAGCGTGTAGCATGGTGACTGGCTGGATGTTACTTGGACTGGACAGTCCAAGTAACTAGAGAGTGGAAGAGAGAGAGCAGCAATGCTCACTCAACGAATGCGACGATAACGCCACCACACACACACAGACATATACACTCATATATGCTCGAACTCAATCTAATCTGACAACAATCGAAGGAGAAGAGAGAGAGAAAGAGATCAAAGCTCTTCAGATTCCAGTGTTGATGATGAAAGATGGAGGAATAATTATGCAGTAAGTACAGAAACTTGGCAATATAATAGTAATAGCTTTATAAATAAACAATATTATAATATAATTTTTTTTTTAATTTTTCTAGCAAGTTGTAAACATTTTGCAGAGGATAAATAATAATTCTGATAGTGATGACTCTAATCTCAATGATGATGACTCTCATTCCAACTCATCTCTAGGCTCTAATGCAATGTCTATAGCAATATCAAATGTTACAGATAATGAATTACTTTCAAATTTAAATGAGGTACGTAATAGAAAATATTTCATTTAATACAGTGTTATAGCTATAATTATTTTTTTCCTAAGTACGTATATTTATATATTTTTTACAGGATGAAAGCTTGTCATCTGTCATATTGAATAACAATACAAGTTCTGAATCTGCAAGTGACATTAATGTAAGTATACGAAATTGACTAATTGCGAATACAAAAAGTATTATCATGGCATGGCATACGTACTTAAGACCACCATGGAAAAATTATGCTTGTTCAATGGCTTTACTAATATACAATTCTTAACTTATTTAATTGACGGTGGCTTCTTTAAAATTTCAAACATTTCTTGAAGTTCTGGGAAAGTTCATGTGCCATATATGCCATGCCTTTACTCCTCTATACCTAAAATGTGAACAATGTAATTGTATTCACAATAAACACAAACTTTATTTACATGTGTACACTCATACACGAATATTATTTTTTATTTTGTTTTTATTATTTATTGAATTATTTAATAGATATAGAAATAATAACGTTGCACTTTGTTGTAGAGTGAATCAATTAATGACAATATGCATATATGAGACTGATTTTATTTTAACTTAAAAAAATATCAACTTGTATGTACAAATTTGTGAAGTTATTTGCAATTAAAAATTTGACAACTAACATAATCTTTCTTTGAAACTTGAATATTAAATCAAGGTCAATTAAAAATAATATGCACGTTTTTAACTAGAAAATTTTTTTTACTATTTTTTTTATTATGTAATTGTACACCGCAAAGTGCTAACTGTTGTCTGGAAAAAATTGTTTCTTGCAAATTCTACCTTCGTCCAAAACTTTCCTTTCTATACACTGAAATTATTTAATAATGGCATGGAATTTTCAATACAAGATTACTTATTTTTTGAAATTCATAGCTTCTTATTAACACAAAGATAATACAATTTATACTTAGACAATAAATATATACACTGTGTGCATTGACATTGCTGTTACATATTATCATATTTTTTAATGAAACTATACACGTTATTATTTGCATGAAATAATTATTTGGTTTGTCTAAATAGTATTTGATGTCAAATGAGAGGACGGGAGTATTATTTAATAAGCTGAAGATCTTACTGAGCTGAGCTTAAATGTAATAATTAAAATTAAATCTAATTTCGTATTCAAAATCAATTTAAATCATTATTAAATAATTTCTGTATCGAAAAGAATTTCTAGACTAAATTAGAATTAGCAACAAATAAAATTATAATGAATCAAAAAATTAATACTGGAAATTATTATTTAAAAATTATGGAAAATCACGGTATGAATATACGAATATAAAATAAAATGTTTTCCATGAAAAAAAGATGACGCCGTAAGAGGTTTAGGTTGCATGTTGCCTTGTTTTTCAATCAATTTTCCATACAACTATTACAATGAATCTATTATATTATAACTAGTAATATAAATGATTTAATTTCATTAGCTAATACAAATCTTCAAAATTAATATCAATATTTATATCTTATCTCAATTTCTTCTAGCATAGTACCAAAAAATCACGTTTTTTTTTTATTAATAATCTTCTTGATTATTAAAACTATAAAAATGAGGAAAAAATCGTACAATGTGTTCAACCAAAATATCTGAAAAATTGATCTTTTCAATAGAGATTATTTTTATTTTGACAATTTATGCTGTAAATTAAATGGAATTATTTTTGTTTTTTTGTTTTTGAAATATATTAGGTACCCTTTATTATGTGTCGCTTATCGAACCAAATGAAACCCTATAGTCACTTTCATGAAAATATTGGAAGCAATGCTCATTTTGAACTTGAAAAAGTATCTAAAAATCCTTTTAAAATCTATTTAAAAAAAATGAAAATATTAAGTTCATTGCAAAAATTTTATTTTTTTCACACATAACATATGTTCAAAAATTAAAACAATTTGATTGATATATAAAAAAATAGAAATCGAGGTATAAAGCTACCTTGAATATTTAGCGTTCAACAGCTAATATAATATTTATTGTTATCAAGGATGACGCAAGGATAAATATACGTGAGCAACTTCTTCATGAGCAGGATGATGAGTTAGCTAGCGATGAAGATTGTGCAGAATACGAACCTATTTTCCAGGTGAATTTGAATGTGAGAGAAAATCCTTTGGAGGAGATGCTATACGATGACGATGCAAATGAGGCTCTCAATGTTCGCGTGAACATTACTAAAGCAGAAATATTTTTGGGAGTCTTAAAATTTTCCCTAGTCCATAAGCTGTCACAATCTGCAATAGCAGATTTATTTAAAATGTTGAACATATTTTTTAATAACAATATTTTACCTCAATCGCGATATTCAGTTAATAAAGTATTCAACTTTGAAAATAATATAGATTATCATGCCCTATGTCCTAACTGTAAGGGTTATGTTAGACAATTTCATCGGGAACAGGATCCGAATGCACGTTGTGATCCTTGTAATTTAGAATTTTCTGTAACCGACCCTACGTATAGAGACTTTTTCTGCATAATAAATCCGGAAGAGGAAATAAGGCATTACGTTGAAGAGAATTGGTTATATTATCAGTCTGTAGTTGACGCACGTGCTGACAACGCGGCTCATTTGAATGAATTCCACAATGGTTTGTTATACAAACGATTAAGAAACTCTCTGCCCGATGACCGGAAAAATCAATTTGTAACTGCGACATTCAACTGTGATAGTTCTCCTGTCTTTGAAAGCTCCAATTTCTCCATTACCTTTTAAATTAAGAACCGCAAAACCGATTGTATGTGGTCTATGGTTTGGACGAAACAAACCAAACATGAACATGTTTTTGGAACCATTCGTTAATAGAATGAATGTATTTTCGGATGAAGGTATAACATGTAACATACGAGGCACACTTCATACTATTTATGTATATAGCATATGTTCTTGTGATGATTCTGTAGCTCGTGCCCCCATGCAAGGAATTGTTCAATTTAATGGATATTTTGGGTGCAACTGGTGTTTACATCCCGGTTATTACATAGCAGTAGGTCGAGGCGGCAGCGTTAAATATATATCATTAGATGAAGCAATCGAAGACAGAAACCATGCGGATACTTTGCGAGATGCTCGCCTGGCCGTAGAATTTGGGCAAGCTATCAATGGCGTTGTTAATGAATCAGTTCTTACTCGCTTAACACATTTTAATATCATTTCTGGTTTTGTGCCCGATCCTATGCATTTTATGGATTTGGGCATAGGCAAGCAATTCGCTAAATATTGGTTTGATACTAGTAATATGCCTTATTCATTAACTAATGCAGAAATCGACCGCATTGATGCGGTGTTAAGAAATATAACTGTTCCTAGCAAACTTATGAGAAACTCTCGTTCCATAAAAGATCGAAAATATTGGAAAGCAAAAGAATTTCAAAATTGGATTTTGTATTTCAGTATGGTCGTGCTTTTAATGATTCCTCGAATGAGAGTCTACGCGACACATTGGTCTTATTTTGTAAGAGCTTATTACATATTACTTCGAGATAATATAACTCGAGAACAATTACGCGAAGCGCATCGTTTATTAACACTGTTTGTAGCTTTAACTGAATTTTATTACGGAAGAAGCTCAATGACATACAATGTTCACCAGTTATTACATGCAGTTCAATCCACTATCAATTGGGGGTCATTATATTACCACTCTGGGTACGGGTTTGAGAACGGCAATGGGGAAATTGTGAAAATGGTAAATTCTGCAAAAGGTGTTCAATATCAAATATGTAGAATGATTGGTATGAACAGAAGCGATCGAATCTTAACGAAATTCATATTAGAAAACTATCCTGATTCACCAGTAATTGACTATGTTAAATATTTAGAAACAAAGGAATGTACGAAAGTATTGACAACAAATGTTGGGAGATATTTTGGTGTATTTTCTCGTCCTACGCCCGAGTGGACAAGATTACTGAATCTATCAAATGCAGCTATTATTTATAAAAAATTAATTAAATCGGGTTGTACATTCTTATCTTGTAATACTGTACGGTTACGTACAAACAATTCCTTTGCAATAACGACTGATAATCATTTCATACAAATTGTTTTTTATATCATAGATAGAATAACCGAGCAAGAATATACTGTATGTAAAAATGTAGATGTTGTAGAGATTATTGACGATAATGAATTCGATCAATTCCAAATAAAAAGAGTAGTAGCTATTAGTGAAGAACTAACCGCTATAAATACTAATAACATAGATAAAATTTGCGTATATATGAATTGTCATAATGAAAGATACTTATGTCCAGTGCCAAATATGCACTCTTATTGAATATTATCTTCTGTTTTTTAATGATATATGAAATATGTAAATATACATTGTATGAAATATGTAATTTTAAATGTATAAAATATCTGAAAAATAAAATTACGAAATTATATATACCTCATCTTACAAAAATCTCCACTGTAGTAAAAAAAATATTGATTAAAGGGGATAACGTTATTGGATCGTCACAATAACGTTATTTGTAAAATGTATGGTGAAAAAATAACGTTCTCACTTAAAATAACGTTAAGTCCTAGAAATAACGTTAACGTTATTTCTAAAACTTATGGTAAAAAATAACGTTATCACTTAAAATAACGTTAAGTCCTAGAAATAACGTTATTGAATCAGTACAATAACGTTATTTCTGTAAATTTTACGGGGGTAAAAATGACGTTATAAATGATCAATAACGTTAAATTCTGGGATAACGCAAACAATAACGTTATTTTGGAAATTTTAACGGGGATGCAAATAACGTTATTTCATTTTAAAAATGACATTCTCCGCAGACAATTACGTTATTTTGTTGAAAAATAACGTTATTGCATTCAGTACAATTTTGATTTTGGTAAAGAAAATGACGTTATTTTGAGAAATAACGTTATTTCATTCGGCGCGATGTTGATTTTTTTAGAAAAATAACGTTATTTTTGTTCCAATTCGTAACACGTCGAATAACGTTATAAAATAATGTTATTTTATAACGTTATTTATAACGTTATAAAATAACGTCATCTTTTTCAATAGGGCAGTGCCTCGTGAGTGTTAGTGTTGGTGTCTGGGAGTGTAACGGATCTGCATGTGTCATCAACATGCATTTCCGTTGCATTTCCCAGTTAAGTTTTGCATTTTTCTTTCGCCGGTCGGCAACACGTGGTCGGGAGTGTATGTGAGTGAGTGTGTGCGTGCGCTCTCTTTTACCGTGGTGCGCTCCTTTTTTTTCTGTCTGTTCTTTGAGCGTCCGTCGGATCGCGTTTGACGAGTTTGTTTTGCCCATATCTCCGGCGTGGTTGTTCGGACATAAAAAGGGGTAATTGTTTTATATAGGGCGCGTTTATCTTTATTTTTTTTCAACCGGTTACGGGGCGGCAAGGGACGGGGATGGCCTTTCCGAGGTGTTGCAAATAATGCAGCACCCAGGGAAGGCCTTGTAATGTACCGCATTACAAAATCATCAAAAGCATTCATAACAATTGTGATAAAGTATCTAGATCGTTAATGCATATAAAACCACATAATGTCTTTTAGTAAATACTGGATTAAAGAAGACAAACAAAATTTGAAATTAATAGACATAAACATAAATGTCTTTTTATTTTATTTACGGGAGGAAAAATAACAAATTAATATCAATTCGAGATATCAAATATAATAATTTTCTAAAATTTCATCTAAAAAACGAAAATGTTATAGAAAATATCTTTTAAAAAAACACATATAAAAAGTTTTTTAACCACATTGATCAATCTTAATCAATTTTTCCACAAAAACGAGACTAATAAGTACGTAGAAAATTTTTTGAAAGCGATACAACAAATAGATAAAAAAAATAACTCGTATACATCATATAATGAGGTTTGAAAATTTTCACCAAATTAAAACTACCCCTTTTGGGTATATAGAAATACATATATTAATGTATTTCTATATACCTAAAAGTAGTAAAATTAAGTCTGTTTTCGCGAAAAATCATATCCCTTAAAGAGTAGGCGACATTATTTTTCACATAAAATGATAATATTTTGTTTTTAAACTTACATTATTCTTATTATTTTTAAGGGTTACCCAAGAGATCGACGTGAGCAATTGCTCCACGAGCAAGATGATGATTACGCGAGTGACGAAGATATCTTAGAATATCAACCCATTTTTGATGATCCACTAATAAATGGAAACGATGTCCAAAATCGATTACATGATATTTTAAACGACGATGATGTAAATGAAATAATCGACGCTAGAGCAAACGTAACTAAAGCAGAAATATTTTTAGCAGTATTAAAGTTTTCGTTGATTTATAATTTGCCACAATCTGCAATAGCCGATTTGTTTAAAATGTTAAATATTTTTTTGAATACTTCCGTTTTGCCTCAATCAAGATACTTAATTGATCAAATTTTTACCTCCGAAAGTAATATTGATTATCATGCATTATGTCCTAACTGTAAAAATTATGTCAGGCAATTTAATCGTGAATGGAAACAGAATTATAATGCACGTTGCGATAACTGTAATTTACAATTCTCTTTAACCGACCCCACTTACAGAGATTTTTTCTGCATAATGAATCCCGAAGAAGAAATAGCTCATTATATTGAAGACCACTGGAATTATTATCAATCCGTAGTTGAAGCACGTTCTGTTGATTCAGAAGATATAAATGAATTTCATAGTGGCTTATTGTATAGACAATTACGAAATTCTTTACCAGATGACCGAAAAAATAACTTTATAACTGCAATTTTCAACAGTGATGGTTCTCCAGTATTTGAAAGCTTTGCTTTTTCTATTTGGCCAATACAAATAATGATCAATGAGTTGCCTTTCAAAGTAAGAACTTCAAAACCAATAGTATGTGGTTTATGGTTTGGAAGAAAAAAGCCAGATATGGATATGATTCTGGAACCATTTGTTACTCAGATGAATATATTCTCAGATGTAGGCATTTCATGTATTGTAAGAAACAGACTTCATACTATTTATGTGTATGCTATTTGCTCTTGTGATGATTCCGTGGCTCGCGCTCCCATGCAGGGAGTTACTCAATTTAATGGTTATTTTGGGTGTAACTGGTGCTTACATCCTGGGTATTACATTGCGGTAGGTAGAGGTGGTAGCGTTAAATACATACTATTGGATGAACCTGTACGCGAGAGAAATCAAGTTGATACTTTGCGAGATGCGCAACAAGCGATAGCTTCTGGTTAATCTGTTAATGGTGTTATAAAAGAATCGGTTCTCACACGCCTGAACTACTTCAATATTGTATCAGGGTTCGTTCCCGATCCGATGCATTATATCGATTTAGGTATCGGCAAGCAATTTATAAAATATTGGTTTGATACAAAAAATATGCCATATTCACTCACTAATGCAGAAATTGATTACATCGATAATACTTTGAAACAAATAACCATAACCGTCCCTAGTAAGCTAATACGAAACTCTCGTTCTATACGAGACCGAAATTATTGGAAAGCAAAGGAATTTCAAAATTGGATATTGTACTATAGTACACTTGTTCTTTTCATGATTCCCCGAATGAAATGCTACGCTATACATTGGTCTTATTTAGTTAGAGCATACTATATTCTGTTACAAAATAACATAAGTCGAAACTCAATTCGTGAAGCACATCGTTTATTAACAATATTCGTGGCTCTAACAGAGTTTTATTATTCAAGAGGTGCAATGACTTTCAATGTTCATCAGCTACTTCATACAGCACAATGCGTTATAAATTGGGGCCCCTTATTCTATCACTCCGGGTATGGGTTTGAAAACGGCAATGGAAATATTGTGAAATTGGTACAAGCTGCGAAAGGTGTTCAGTATCAAATCGTTCGAATAATCGGTATGAACAGAAGTGATCGAATTCTAACAAAATTTATGTTACGTAACAATCCTGATTCAGAAGTCCTAGAATATGTTAGATATTTAGAAACAAGAGAGTGTGGAAAAGTATGGACTACTAATATTGGAAGATATTTTGGGATATTTTCTCGTCTAGCGCCGAGGTGGAAAAGAGAATTAAATTTATCCGATGCAGCTATAGTCTACCGAAAACTAATAAAGATGGAATGCGTATATTTGTCCTGTAACACTGTTAGACTGCGATCAAACAATTCTTTTGCAAAGATAATTGACGGTAATTTTGTGCAAATTGTTTTTTTCATCGTTGACAGATTACACCAGCGGGAGTACACTGTATATAAAGTTGTAGATGTTGAGGATATTTTTGATAATAATTTAGCTGAATTTCAAATAAAAAGGATAACAGCTATTAATGAAGAATTAAGAGCTGTACATACTAACAACATAGATAAAATCTGTGTTTACATAAATTGTAATGACGAGAGATATTTATGTGCTACACCAAATATGTACTTCTATTAAACAATCCGAGCTGTATTCTTAAGAAAAATGTATATAAATTTATTGTCAAAGTATTTTAATGAAAACTGGTCATAAAATTAATATTCTTTTATTATATTTGTAAATAAAAATATTCAGTAATGTAACAGTCCAGTCTGATTTGTCTCCTATTTTCTTCTGCAAATTAGCAACCCGTCATACACAAGATAATCAAAGAAAAGCGGTAATGGAGCAAAGGCGCTTTTCTCACGTATATGAAAATGTGTTAGGGCAACTCTGCGAAAACATTACCATATAAGGAGCGTGACGTCACGACCGTGGGAAAATTTATTGTTTACGATAGAAAATCGACAATTATAAAGTTTTTCAAATGAACAAAAGTATTTTTTAGTCAATTTTGATGCGCTGATCCTGAATTTCATGTTGTTATAACTCTCAAGTCGATATTTGTTAGTCAAATTTAATCTAGAAGTTGATATTGTTAATTATTTTGCAATAAACAATTATATTGTTATTTCGAGTATGCGTTTACAACCTCGACGTATTGAGACAGAAAAGCAAGAATTTGACACTTTGATAACTAATTATTCACTAAATTATCAATAAATAAAAAATTTATAATTTTTTTAAACAATAAAAATTGCATTGTTAGATGTCGAATCGATCATACATTGATACAAAATTAATGATTTTGACTGTTACTAATTTACTGATTTTTAAATCGTTAAACAAGAAATTGGCAAATCCATTTTTTAATTATTATTCAAAATTAGATAGCTACATTAATCATTTTTATCTTGAATAACATTCTTCTAACCATAAGCGATTTTTTCATGTAAAAATTTTCCATAATTTTATTGTAAAAGTGGCGTAATTTGATTATTGAATTGTATCACTTATCCTTCTTAAGAAAAGTGATAGGCTCTCGAGTGAAGTCATTTTATTCGTGATCTGATTGGCTGAAGTGTAGTCATGTGAGTTACTATACATAGTTGTGTCTACTGTGTTAGTTTGTTCTGTGTTTGCCTTTATAATGTAGCCGGCTAAAGCATTGAAGCATCATTTTACAGTAATCCCGCGAGTACATTAACATCCAGTTGCATCTGCTATTTAAAGTAAATTGACTTATCTTATCAAGCAAAAAAATAGGTAAGTAGATTATGCAATTAGCGTTTACGTAATTATTTTTTTTTGTTTGGAATTTTTGTTTTTGTTGTTTGAAAAAAAAAGAAAGATAATTGCGGGAATCAATAGGTTAAGTTGACGAGCACGTTTTTTACAATTTTTGAAGGCGGTGTGGCAAAAGCTGCTTCTCAAACTTATTACAAGGAAGCTAATAATTATATTCCATTTGAGTTGCTGATAAAAGATGCTACTACGATCGAATATCTAGGACAACATACTGGTATTGAAAATAATGCCAGACCAGTACAATCTGTCACTTTTGAGGAAGTTGGTAAAGCTGAAGGATTGATATGTAAGTGTAATTTTACAGTTCTGTCTAAATATCTTATGTATGTTATAATATTTATGTAACAAAATAACAAAATGATATCTTCTACAGTGATTGAAGGGCATATCAAAATGAAATTTGTTAAAGCAATCAATCAGTACACTCATCAGCCATATGGATGTGGTTCTATCACTGATGGAAATTACAAGTTGGCGGTTCACATCTCCAATTATGTAGCAGAATTGAATTTTGAAAAAGGTATACGCGTTAAAATAGCTGGGGAGATTGACAGATCAGGTATGTACCTCTAATTATGACTCAATATTTTTGTTGGACAATAAATGAATGGAGGTATTTATTTATCAAACAAAAATCAAAACACAAATTTCTAGGAGAATTGATGATTCTTCGCTGTTTAGATACTGATTCTGTTGTGGAAATATCAGATGTGCCTAGGATGACAGCTCAAATGTTATCTCGAGGAATAAAAACCCCAAAAAGAGGACTGCAGCAAGAATAAGGTTATGTATTCTTCAATTATAAGAGTATAGATTATACTTTTTGGGTTTGTCTTGAACATCGTAATACATTATTTTCAATTCTATATAAAAATGAAAAACTTGGTAGTTTGTTTGAATGTGGATTTCTTTGTTTGTAATTTGAAACACTTGAAATTTTCTATTATTTGTAACCATACATTCCTTTTTTAGAATTCGATTGAATTGAATTATATTAAGAGTATAGCTTTACGTACACCAGTTATGTATTTTATATGACATGTGATTGAGTTGAGCATAAAATGCTCAGTGTTAATTAATAGTCTGAGAGTATATAATAAGATATATTGCAGTTCAGATTGTATCACTTATACATATATATATATATAGTTTTATCAAAAAAATATCCAAAAAATTTGTAAAATGCTATGTATTCATTTCAAAATGTTCATCAAAGTGAGACTGAACTAATTTATATCGATTACAAACCGTATTATAAACTAATAAAATGTTTCTTGCTCTACGAGTCTTTAACAACATGAATAATGTAAAAAATATAATGAGCGACACAATGTGAATACTAAGGGCTATCAGAATACTCACAAAAATATACATGAAACATAACTAACAATAATTTTAATATTAAGATATATTCAACTTACAAATAAATGTAAACGCTATTTATATAAAAAAATATTGCACATCAAGAATGTAAATGATTCTAAACAGTAATTGCACTTTCATAAGGTATTCGTACGTACTATCCGCTTTAGATTAGTAACCATGCATTTCTTTTTTGTAATTTGATTGAACTGAATGATACTAAGCGTAGTTTTAGACTAGTTATGTATTTTAGATGACATGTGATTGCGTTGAGCATAACATGCTCAGTATTAATTAATAGTCTGAGAGTACATAATTAGATATATTGCAGTTCAGATTGTATCACTTAAATGTATAGTTTTATAGTTTTATCAAAAAAATATCCAAAAAATTTGTAAAATGCTAAGTATTCATTTCAAAATGTTTATCAAAGTGAGACTGAACTAATTTATATCGATTACAAATAGTATTATAAAACGAATAAAATGTTTCTATCTCTACGAATCTTTAACTATATGAATAATAATGTAAAAAAATGTGAATACTAAACAAAATGTAATATATTAAGAATAATTGAGGTTATTACATAGTTCATACATAGTATTTACGTTTTTCTGCTGCAATTCTAAACATCTCATTAAATTGTAAAGTTCGTATTTATTTTTTTTAATAGTGTTGTCCTGTAAAAAATTGTGACCGTGTAGTCATGTAATGTCAATTGCACTCCGTCTTCTATTAATACAGTTTACCTGGTTGAAACTTCGAACATTACATTATTGTTATATAAAAAAAATTACAAAGTAAAAAAATATACATAATGTATAAATGTATACAGATGACATAATGTATAAAAAAAATATAGCACTAGATCTGGATTAATGTTATATTTTTATGTACAAAAATAAGTTAAAAAGTATAGTATGAAATGTATAAATGTACAGATGACATACTGTATACGAAATATTGCACTTAATATGTTGTTTAAAAATATTGCACTTATAAATAATGTAAACGCAGTTGATAAGTATTCGCACTGTGATGAGCTAGGTACGTAAGTTGATTGCAAAGATTTTAGTTTAGTAAACTGTATGTACTAACTTATTCATGTTTGTAAAGCATATCTGTAATGAATGACTTTTTTCTATAAGATGATGATTATAAAATATGTAGTCTTCTGTGAAATAATGTACTCTGTAATTAATTACAATAAAGTTCCAATAAAATCAAGTCTTTCGATGTTTGAATAATGTACAAATGTAACATTAAGATTAGCATTGTGGTTATTACTTAAAGTACATACTATTAATGTCTTTCTGCTGCCATTGTACAAGTATAATGTTCGTATTTATATTTGTTGTATTGAAGTGTAAAAAGTGTAAAAATTGGGTTATTGGGTTGGGTTATTGGCTGTTGAATGCTGATGTCTGGTTGCAAAATTATTGTCCCTCAGAGTGAGAGAGACAGCAATAGGATAAGAGGAATGGATGTCCCATCTATCGTGTGGATCTTACCTGTTGCTGTCTCTCTCACTCTGACGGACAACTTAACCTTTATATGCTACAGAGTCACGTGACCTTAAGCTCATAACGACCACGCTTATTCCATGCTCAATTTACGGTTACATCAAAATTGCAAGCCACTGCAAGTCACGTTCTTCAGTGTTCAATAAATTGATGATACACTTCAATTTCTGTAGTGAGCAATTGAACCTCTTAGTTGGTTTCATCTACTCTCAAATTGATTAAGCAGAGCGATTAAAAACAGGTCAGTAATATAATTTGATTTGAAAGGAAATATTTTACATTTTGATTGCATAACCTTCAAAAAAAGATATTTTTTATATTGAGGCACAGTTGAACGCACACAATTCATTACCATTTCCAGTTTGATTTGATAATTTGTAGACAGTGACTCGATTTTCTGTTTTCAATATCTTCACAAAATTAGTTTCAATTTATGATTCATAAAAATTTTGGTGCAGATGCAGACTTCACCGTAAAGTGTATTTAAAAAAATTATTACCATGTGTTTTTGGATCTTTCATGCGATCGATCGGTTATTCTATATGTGAATACTTCATTCTAATCAAAAAAATACCTTTTTTTTGATATTTCAGAGTTTTTTATACGACCACAACAGGCCTCACAACTGATTATGCTATCAATAGTTTGGAGTTTGGAGGATTAAATTAATAATTATCTTCTTTTTCAAAAGTGAGTGATTTTTATACAATGATAGCAGTAATATAGCTTACGTCATCGCTTTCAAAAATCTATTGATTTATTTTTCAATAGAATTCTGATACTGGAACTTGAAAAACAAATGATTCTTACGTAATTTTATTCACATTTCCTTTTACAGTTATTATTATTTTAAAATTTACTTTACTTGAATAATTTCTGAATGCAGAATATCATTTCAATACTTCAGTCAATTAATTTATCGAAGATTGTGATAGCAAATTGTACTTTGGTATTTGTGTACCTAAACAAACTATGAGTATATTTTATTTTGAAATCTTCATCGTTAAATTACTTTTGCATCATTGACAATTGGAGTCTGAATAAAATTAAACAGTAATCTATTTTTTTTACTTTTTTTACATTATTAACATAAAGTAATGTATTTTTTTATTTCTTTAATTAATTTATAATTTATGATCTACAAAATTAAATTTCTTTTGTTTCAGGTGGTTCATAAAAAAAGGATATTGTTTGTGTGTGTTATGTAAATTAACAGCATCAATAATAATGTAACTTTACATGATGTGAACTACATTGGATATTTTATAAATAAATAACATTTTTGACTCACCTCAGCATTTATTTACTCATTTACTTAAACATTACATACGCTTACCATTACATAATATCATGTTACCAGACAAACCAAACCAAACCGAATCAACCCAAACCAAACCGTACCAAACCAAACCAAACCAAAAATAGACCAAAACAAAATACCAAACCTTAATTACATAATTAACGAACAATATTTAGAAAAAAATTCAATTACCAGTTCATAATTAAATTCTTTTATTTTGTTCCAACATTTTTAATTGTACGTATATTATACGATTCCTACTTCTTTACATTTGAATTAATTTACTTACTTTACTTTTATTTAATTTAATTAATTATACAAATATATCATGGGTCGCAGAAAACTTACAGAAGACGAAGCAGCACTGTCAAAACACAAAAGACGTACTACAGAAACACAAAATCAAAGCCGTAGACGACAACTAGCTCGACAACGTATTGTTGATAATAACCGCAATACACTAGAATCTGTTACAACAGATTATTTAGGTCCAATGAATATTTTGTGTCAACATTGTAAAGCCAAGCATTTCAAAGATGAAACGGTTTCAAATAAAGGATTGTCCTTTAATGATTGTTGTGGTCACGGATCAGTAAAATTAAATCCTTTACCAACTTTACCGCATGAACTCAAGACATTATTCGACGGAGAACATGATAAATCATCAAGATTTTTTGAGCGTATACGAAATTATAATAATTCTTTATCTTTTGCTTCATTCAACGCAAATTTGGTTAGTTTTCAAACGCGTCGAGCAGGTCCGTTTTGTTTCAAAATCCAGGGGCAAATATATTACCAAATTAATACAGCCCTATACCCTAGCGAAGGCGAAAGTCCTTCGTTTGGACAACTTTTCATAATTGATCAAAATGAAGCTTTAGACTATCGAATTCAACAAAATCCTGTTATAGATTACGAATTAATGACAATTTTAGATAGCATAATACGTAATAATAATATTTATGCAAAATCTTATCAGATGATGAACGACGAAATACGTGTACAGCAGTTGATAACTGAAATAAATGGAAATTCAAAGCAATCCGAATTGCAATTATTATTTTCATTAAAACCTGGTCAAGACAGTCGGCGATATAATTTTCAACGAGTGAATGAAGTTGCTGCAATTTTTTCGACAACTGCTGACGGTGAAATACCTGAATCATATGTAACAATAAGAAATAAAAATACAAAAACGTTACAATGTGTTAGTTCCTTAGATCCTAATGTTGAGCCATGGATTTATCCTTTATTCTACCCATATGGTTCTCAAGGTTGGCATCAAAATATGTTCCGCATAAATCAAAATCGTAGAATTACACGATTAGATTATACTAAATATCGAATGGCCATAAGAGAAAATGAATTTAACCCTATTATAAGAGGACGTAGACTGTTTCAACAGTGGGCTGTGGATAGTTATGTAAAAATTGAAAAAGATAGAATTCAGTATTGCAAAAATCATCAAAAAGAATTGAGAGCTGATACATATCAAGGTTTACATGATCACATGAGAAATTGTGCAAATGATGTAAATGGACGTGTAGGTAAAACTATAATTCTTCCTTCAACATTTACGGGTTCTCCACGATATATGCAACAATGTTATCAAGATGCAATGGCTATTGTTAATGAAACAGGAAAACCTGATATTTTTCTAACAATGACATGCAACCCGAATTGGCCAGAAATATCAGAAAATTTGTTGCCAGGCCAACAAGCTGCCGACAGACCAGATTTGGTAGCAAAAGTTTTCGATCTGAAAAAGGATCGTTTACTTGATATTGTTATAAAAAAAAAATTCTTCAGAAAAGTTGCGTCTTACGTATATGGGCAAATCCACCGAACCTTTCATTTTTATGAAAAATGGAATTTAATTTTTTTTTTTAAGCTGTAATTTCTAAATTAATGTCCGGTCAACAGGGTGTTTACACACGAATGAAAGAGATTGACTCGAACAAACAAGTTGACAAAAGGCAATTCGAGATACGTAATAAATCGGGTATCGTAATAATAAAGGTTCACTGAAATAAGAGACATTCATTCTTACTGATTGCATGTATTATTATAAAAGTCATCTACGTGATCACGTCTTCGCTCAATCGCGCACACACACCCGCACACTATATAATATTTCGCTATGTCGACATCCCCATAAATTATCTTTACGTCAATGAATACATTCAAATAATTGCTATTCTCGTTCATACCATGTTACGTTCAAACAATGTCGTGATTTAACTTATACAAATGCTTACACTCTCGTAGGGATGACAAACGTCAGCACGCTCCCTTGCTGCCACTTATGTACCACCGTTATTTTTGATGTTGGCCAAAATGACTAATCCTTCTTCTAACGCTCCGGCCGCAGAATAAGCTAATACGTAAGCTCGGAAACGTCAGATATTCTATTTCGATTCCAGAATTAATGGCTGGGATCTCTTTTAATATAGCGATGCCTTGATCAGCGAAGTCACAGGTGTCAGTTGACCATCGCTGCTAGGTGACCGGTGGCACGGCAGGACAGGAAAGAGATTGAGCTCGGCGTGCGCTCCGATTTTATTGGATCCTAGATCGCGCGCAGATACTCGCAATTCACACGCGCACAACGAGCGCCTCGAGCGCTTAATTCAAACTCCAAAGCATTCGTTACATGCCTCCCCTAAATTTGTGATGGGAGAGAACAAATTTTCATTTTTCTTTATATTCCTTAGTCTGTTTTCTATTTTCATTATCTAACATTTTGAAACGCTTTACATGCTTTATAGCTTTTTTAACTTACATGGTGGATCAATTCTATTTGTAACGACACATCCAAGCGTCAATCATTACAACCGTTTAACATATTTTCAAGTACACCTTTCGCTCACTCGCACCGAATAAATTCGCTCTAAATAAGTGCGTTGCTATGGAACAAACCTAACTTCCTTGCCTAAATAAGGCTCAAATTCAACATTCATCCTTTCATTCTTCCATCACCATCATCTTAACCTAAATTATACAAAGATTTACGGTCTCATCACTAATATTAATAATTCGCGCTGTCTAAGAGAACCTTAAAATACAATCTTCTATCAAGGACACAGCTGAGAGGACGGAGAGAGGCATATTAGTCACCCGCGATAATACTTTCTTAAGTTCAATCGATTATACGTTCCTTTAATCTTGCTCGGATCCTCTGGATTAGTCAGCTCAAATGCGTTTTCACCTATCACTTTAGCTATCCTGTAAGGGCCCTCGTAAAGGTGAAAAAATTTATGAGTAATTTTATCAATTGCATTGGACAGATGGCGCACACGCAGCATGACAAGGTCTCCGATATTCAACTTCACCTTCGAAACGACTTTTTGATTTTTAAGCCGCCTAGAAAAGCTTCGATTCATATTTTCTCTTGCGAGCGTTATTACAAGTTTATGATCAATATCACGTTGCATTGGAAACTTTATTATCTTTAAGATTTCATCTTGTATGTCTCTACCGAAGTGAATTTCATTTGGTGCGTAATTTGTGCTAAAATGCGTTGTAACATTCAATAAATTTTCAATGTTCTTTATATGATTTATCCAAGTCGTATGTTTAGTTTTGCAGAATGTTCGAAATAATTGGCCAAGCTCCCGCATAACGCGTTCTGTTGGATTTGACTGTGGGTGTCTCACGCTGCTATACACCACTTTAATGCCCTGAGCCTCGAGTGACTCTTTCCATTTTTGTGAGGTAAATTGAGTACCGTTGTCACTCAGAACACGCTTGAACTTCCCACATTCTGGTATATATTTATTAATAATTTTGTCAAGCGACGCACGTGTAGTTGCTCTCTTCAAAGCATACAGTCTGACCAGTTTCGAAAAGGCATCCAGTACGACAAACACATACTCCATTCCTCCCCTGGCACGAGGGAGAGGTCCATAATAATCGACTGTTACAAGGTCGGAAGGTGATTGCGATATCACCTGATTATATGGTCCCTCCATCGCGACTGATAAGTGTTTAACCCGCTGGCACAGGTCACAAGTCAATACGAATTTCTTTATACGCTTGTGCATAAACTTGAAATAATAAAAACGCTTAATGTATGTCAGTGTTTTGAATACACCGGGGTGACCCAATTTAGCATGTACATAGTTTATTACGTTATCGACAATTGCATTTGGCACTACTATTCTATACAAATCGTTTTTGTTTTCTTTATGAAAAAGGATGTCTTGGTATGATTCAAAATTCTCGTTTTGCGCAGATTTTCGTCCTAGTTTTAGATTGTCAATTATTGTTCTACAGTATGTGTCTTCCGATTGCAATTTATTCAAGTTTTTTAAAATTTGCTTCAACGTTCCGCTTTGTTTATGGATCATCATTATCGCCAACGGAGAGATTTCATCAACCTGTCGAGTAGTCTTATGCAATTGTGGCAATGTAAATTTATTCAATAGCCCAAACATTAATTGTTCCTCGACCTCGCTATGGAATCTTCCGTTGGGATTGCGACTTAGGAAATCAGCAACCACGTTATTCGAGCCCCTGCAATACGTAACCCTGAATCTGTATTGCTGTAAAAGTAAACTCCAACGAATTAATCGTGAGTTATGATATACCGTATTTGTAAGAAAAGTTAACCCTTTGTGGTCGGTAATTATCTCGAATTCGACTCCAATAAGGTAATAGCGAAACTTCGACACGCAATATATGATGGCGAGTAATTCAATCTCGGTAGTTGTATAACGGGATTCTTCAGATGACAAGCATCTACTTGCTATAGAAATTATACGATGATCACCCTCGTTATCTATTTGATATAGTATCCCACCGATACCGACTAAACTGCCATCACACTGGACTTTGTATGGTGCTCCCGGAATAACGTGACTTAAACATACAGCGCGTACGAAATTTTCTTTTAGTGCCTCGAAGCTCTTCGCGTGTTTCTGTGTTCAAGTCCAATTAGCATCCTTGCTTAGGAGGTCTCTAAACGGGGTGATGTAATCATTATGGCGAAGTACAAATCTCCGATATTAGTTACATGCCCCTAACAACGATTGCAATTGTTTTTGGTTACTCGGTGTCTCAAAGTTTACAATGTCTTTTATTCTTTCCGGGTTGGCCTCAATGCCTCTGCTTGATAAAATAAATCCGAGAAATAATATTTCACTTTCAAAGAATTGTGATTTATCTATTTTTATAGTGAAGTTGTTATGCAATAACTTTGAGAAAATAATTTGGAGTACTTGAATGTGGCGTTTGAAAGTTTTCGTCGCTATAGCCGTATCGTCTACATACGTAATTGAATTTTTTTCGATTTCGAACGGTTTCTGCAGTGCTAAGTCTTCCCATTTATCATTTTCCTCGAAAGCGGTTAAGAACTTGAAATCATAAGGCAAAGGAGTTTGTAAGGCAATGGTAAAAGCTCGTATGAGCGCGCTACCTGCTGTTTTAATGCCGAATGGGACGCGAACCCATTGGTACATCTTGGAGTTGAATCTAAATGCAGTTAAAGGACGCGAATCTATATGCAATTTGACTTGCCAATAACTATTTCTAAGGTCAATCTTTGATAAAAATTTACAGTTGTAAAATCTTTGCATCAGTTCAGCGATAATAGGAGGGCCCTCAACATCATCCTCTATGTTTTCGTTTATTTGTCTAGCATCCAAACATATTCTTGGCAATCCATCAGCCTTCATTACCATTCTCAGTGGACTACAATACTGACTTATTGATGTTTCTATAATTTCAGCTTCTAACATATCTTTTATCACTTTACCAATTGGTTCGATAAGAGCTGATGGTAGCGTATATGATTGATTAATTTTTGGATTTTTGTTTTTTAATATTAACTTATGCTCATAACCGTTAGCACATCCTGTTTTATTGTTAAATAAAGGTTTGTACTGCTTTAATAATTCATAAAATATATTCTTTTCCTGCTCACTTAAATTCTTGTTTGTAAAAGCGATAGAGTTCAGTTGCTCGTCTAGAGATATTTCATTTACTTTTTCTTTACTATTTTCGTACGTTATATTATAAATTTGTAATTCTTTAAACCTTGATGAATCATTAACATTTGTAATAAGTTCTTTTTCATAATAATCATAATCATTTGATATGTCTAATACACATATTTTATTATTTTTTCCTTTTTCTTTCGAAGGTTTTTCATTATTTATATTATCTCTCATAATTTCATTTCCATTTCGAATCAAATCAATATTTTTAAAACTACTCCTCTGTTCTTCATTTATACTATAAATCATATTTTCTTTTATATTTATTCTCACAATGTGAATACACGTTACGTTATCGGTTTTACTTAACAAAATTCTCTCTGAGCATTCCCTCTCACACAGAACTAAGTGAGCTGGAATAACTTTGTCTTTAAATCGAAGTTGTGTTAACCAATAATCAATTACCACGCCATATTACAAATTAAAGTCATTTCCCAAAATAATTTCAGCCGATAAATAAGGAACAACTAAAAATGTAAAAGATAAATGTAAGTTATCCAGTTTCATTTCTATTAATATTTGTTTTTTTATTAACGTAGCCTTTTTGCCAATTGCCGTGGAAACTACAACGTTTGATACCGGCAATTCAAGTAAATTATTGGAATTTCTTAATTTATGATAAAATATTTCTGAAATAGCGGTTATTTGACTGCCGCTGTCAATTAGACACCAGACTTTATTGCCCATTACATCGACTAAAACTTTTGGGGACGATAGGATCTTATTTGTTTTTATTATGTGTTGGCCCTCGTTACGTAAGACATCATACTCCAGTCTCTCTACCACCTCGAAATTCTGACGCACCGGCGGGCCGATTTTCAGTACGTCATTATTCAGTTTAAATCGCGATTATTATTTCTTTGATTTGAATCACCCGCTCGATCCGTCACATTAGGAGGTGGAACAGAGGTGTCCGGAACTAAGAAATTATTTGAACTTTCATTATGTGACTGATCATTATTTCTATTATGGAATTGTCTATTATTATGATGACCTCGGTTATTGTTGAATCTACCTCGACCTCTGTTATTA